TGTATTTACAAAGTTGTGCAACCATCACTGCTATCTGATTTCAGAACATTTCATCACCCCCAAAAGAATCCCCACAGCCCTTAAAAGTCATTCCCCAACTCCTCCTCCACCCAGTCCCTGCACTAATCTACTTTATGTCTCTATAAATTTGCCTATGAACAATTCATATAAATGGAATGCTAAAATATGTGGCCTTTTGTGATGGACTTCTTTCACTGAGCATTATGTCTTAAGGTTCATCCATGTTGTAGCATGCTATTATGGTAGTCACTCTTTTTTATGGCTGAATAATATTCCATTGTATACATATACCAGGTTTTGTTAATACATTCATTAATTGATGGACATTTGGCTTGTTTGAACTTTTGGCTGTTATGAATAATGCTGCTATGAACATTTGTATAAACATTTTTGTGTGGACACATGTTTTCAATTATCTAGGGTCTATATCTCAAGTTGGAATTTCTGAGCCCTATGGTACCTTTATGTTGAATTTTGAGGAGCTGCCAAAAGTTTCTTCAAAGTAGCTGCATCATTTCACCTTCCCACCAGCAAAGGATTTCCCATTTCTCCACACCCTTGCCAATACTTCTTATTATTTTTCTTTTTGATTATAGACATTCTAGTGGATGTGACATGATATCTCATTGCTTGCAGTTTTGATTTGCGTTTCCCTAACGACTGATGATACTGAGCACGTTTTCCTGTGCTGATTGACTATTTGAATATCTTTTTTTGAGAAAGGTCTATTCAAACCCTTTTTCCATTTTTAATTATGTTGTCTTTTTATCGTTGAGCTGTAAGAGTTCTTTATATATTCTAGATACTAGACTCTTATCAGATATATGATTTGCAAATATATTTTCCCATTATCTGAGTTGTGTTTTTATTTTATTGACTGTGTCTTTTAAAGCACAAAAGTTTTTAATTTTGATGATGTCTAATTTGTCTATACTTTCTATTGTGGCTTTTGTTGTTATTTCTAAGAAACTATGCCTAATCCAATGTCACAAAGATTTAGTTTAAGTTCTTACCTTTAGGTATATGACCCATTGTGAGTTAATTTTTGTATATGATGTAAGGTAGGGATACAACTTCACTCTTTTGCATGTGGGTATCCAGTTGTCCTAGCACCAGTTGTTGAAGAGGGTCTGCTTACTCTATTGAATTGTTTTAGCACTCTTGTCAAAAATCACTTAAACATAAATTTCAGCATTTATCTCTGGACTTTCAGTTCTATTCCATAGATCAATCTGTCTATCTTTATGCCAGTATCACCCTGTCTTGATTACTATGGATTTGTAGTAAGAGTTGAAATCAGGAAGCGTGAATTCTCCAGGTTTGTACTTCTTTTTCAAGATTATTTTGGCTGTTCTGGATCCTTTGCTTTTCCAGGTGAATTTCAGGATCAGCTTGTCCATTTCTGCAAAGAAAGCCATCTTGGATTTTGAAAGAGACTGTGGTAAATCTCTAGATCAATTTAGGGAGTATTGCATCTTAACAATATTAATTCTTCCAATCCATGGACACAATATATCTTCCCACTTATGTAGGTATTCTTTAGCTATGACATTTTTTAGTTTTCAGTCTACAAATCTCACTCTTATTTTGTGTTTCTTTGTTTGCTTGTTTTTTGGGGAGGAAGACTGGCTCTGAGCTAACATCCATTGCCAATCCTCCTCTTTTTGCTGAGGAAGATTAGCTCTGAGCTAACATCTGTGCCCATCTTCCTCTATTTTGTATATGGGATGCCGCCACAGCATGGTTTGATGAGCGGTGTGTAGGTCCGCACCCGGGATCTGAACCTGTGAACCCCAGGCCAAAGCAGAGTGCACGAACTTAACCACTACACCACCAGGCTGGCCCCTCACTCTTATTTTGTTAAATTTATTCCTAAGTATTTTATTCTTTTTGATTCTATTGTAAATGGAATTGCTTTCTTAATTTCATTTTCAATTTATTTATTGCTAAATATGGAAATACAATTGATTTTTGTATACAGATCTTGTGTCCTGCAACTTTGCTGAACTCACTTATTAGCTCTAATAATTTTGGAGGGCATTCCTTAGCATTTTATACATAGAGTTTCTGTGGCTTTCTAGATTCCTAGGAATATGTGAGAGACTTTCGAAGTCCCCTATTGGCCTCCCATTCCTCAATTTTTTCTTTGAAGTTTTTGGTCAACTTCTTGTTAGCTCCACTGGTATTGGTACCTCAGGCCACCATAACGTTAAACAATAGCCACTGATTATTTCCGACAAATACCCTGGGGATAATGCTCTTCATACAGAGTAAGTTCTGAATCAGGTTAAATAAGAACAAGCTCTGCAAATGGAGGTTTTCAGCATTCTTCCAGACAGGCCAAATAGTAGAAATTCTACACGGATTGGGCTTTAGAGGAGCTCCAAACCCATTTTTCCCCCTCCAGTGCCTGGTAGGCTGCTGGATGCCATAGCTGTCATAGTGCAAAGCTATTGATTCTCAAGGCTACCAGAGCTGAGGAAGAGGGTGGAATTACTGCAAGTTTTTAAATGCCATATATCTTGCTGTACTTACCAAGACTCAGCCGTTTTTCTTGAATAAACTCTCCCCAGATTGTTGCAAACCTTTAGTTATTTCCAGAGTTCCCAAAAAGTTGATGTTGATAGTTTTTGCAAGTGTTCTCATTTCTTTATGGAGGAGTAAATTTTTGGAGGTCTTTACTCCACCATTCCAAAAGTTGGCGTGGAGTAGTTGCCAATTCTAAAAAAATAACAAAGGAAAATTACTATGCCAATTAACCTAAAGTATTGGAAATCTTTTTTTCAGTGAGACAGCGTACTCTGTACATATAAAGTTCTTTCCCCTTTGCTTATTATTAATTCAGAACCAAACAGAATTGAAAATAATATTTTCACTATACCAAGCATTCAAGTCCATAATTATATACCCTCATAATACTCGCTAGTGAGAGTGAAGAGGGGAGATTCCCTATTTTTGTTACTTTTTCCATACTCAAAGGATGTCTCAACTGCTTTGCTACCAGAATGAGACATGTTGTGGCAGCTACTAGAGATGAGGCAAAGTGCTGACAAAATTAAACTCTTTCAGGCTTGCCCTAAAAAACTTAACCCTTTATTGTGATGGCAACATCTCAGGGATTGCCTCCAAATTCATTGGAAGGGAAACAAAAAAATCCCACCGCTAATATCAATAAACACATTATTGCAGTCTGGGATTTTGTAGAGGTAAAGCTTTCTTAAATATTCTTTTAGGATGGCACTTACTATCCAACTTTTAAGGTTACGTGGAATCTAAACATTTGTGGAAAGCGCTGTATGAAATAGCAACATTTCAATAGAATTATTATATTTCATGACACATTATATAGCCACTGATGGGCTCAGGGGATCCATCCTTATCATTTCAGAAATTAGCAGAGAGAGGGTAGCAGGAATTATTCCCCTTCAGATATCTCCAAAGAGCAGCACTTGCTCCTTCTAGATTTATAGCCCGGGAACCCAAACCAACAGCTGCTTCAGTGTGATGGGAGCAAAGCGAGATTCTCAACTTAGATATTGACAAGCATTGAGGTAGAATAAAGGCGTACTATGTTCCTTTTTTGATTCAGCTAATTGCTGAATGACATTTTAATATGCACCTGAGATAGGGCAAACCTGCTGTTTATATTAAAATCAGCCCTGAGCTGCAGACAAGAATTATGACTATAGAATCCAGTAGGAACACCCCAATATCAAGGTTGGGCAAAATGAAAATACCCTAGTTGCTGCATATCTTTGAAGTCCATAACCAAGAGTCAGGAAAACTTTCTCCCCTTCCTATAACAAGAATCAATTCCAAAGTCTGGAGTAAGGAGAGTTTCCCTACATGCTGTTAAAATCCTAATGAGAAATTTCAATTTGAAGATTCTGATAGTTCTTTGCTCTCATTTTATCTGAACTAACACTTTAGACAGTTGGTGTATTATCTTCCAGAAAACCTTGTTTCAAGATAAGCCCTTTCATCTTTCAAATGGCTTTGGGGCATCTTTCTCAGTGCCAGGAACACAGCCATCCATTTCACAAATGATGACATTACTTGGCCTTCCTATTACAAACATCCTTCCTATCCACAACAAAGCAGTGAATGTTTCAACGGCATCTGAGGCCTACAAATTGTCTCTGTAAATCTCTCCCACAAGGAAATCAATAGATGTTTTCACAAAGTCAAAGAGTTCTCTCATATACTAATAAGCTGAACACCTTGGGGAAAAGAAGTGTTGGAGGATTTCACTTCTGTGATGAGCGTCTTATGATAGTCACTTGGCCTGTTTTCCTACCCTAAGATTGAATGCTGAGAGAAGACAATTTTCCTCCAAAACAGGCAAGGCAGTCCTTAGCCAATATGACCTTGAACAAATCACGTGAGCCTTATATGCTTCAATCTCCTTATATCCGAATGGGAATAATAATAGTACCTTCCCCAATGGGTTGTACTGAGGCATAGGTTTATGTAAAATGCCTGCCTCAGTGCCTGGCTCTTAGTCAATGCTCAACAAATGGTAGCTCTGATGATGACAAGCATCAGACTGATGGTGGTGATTGATAATCGGTAAAAAAGATGATACCAATGATTAGATGACATGAAAATTTATGTCACAAACTCCTTAATCTTTGATTATCTCCCTTTCTCTCTCCTTTACAACGTTCATTCCTCAACACTCATAGAGTCCAGATCCCCGAGACAGAAAGAGAATATCAACAGTTTAATAAATTTAAATGTCTGCAATTTAAAGAGAAGTGCAAGAAAACAATGAATAAAGTACTCAACAGGGTGAATTCAGGTGGTAGAGCATCCAGCCACAGCAGCAATTTTTTGCAGGTAGCCAGGGAGCAAGGAACGAATGAGACCAAGTGAAAAGCAGAAGAAACAAAGCTCAGTGGAGAGCCCACCCGGATAGATGGTCTTTGTGAGTCGATTCATAGATGTCACTACAATGGCATCTTTGTTGGAAGAGCTGAGCCATGGAGACTTTCCCTAGTGTTGGAAGATGAGACTATTACATGAAGCAGCACAAATACAGTCTTCCTTTCCTCCTGACCCTCCTCCTCTTAATTTTGTGTATCGATTTGATTAATCAATTTAACTTTTCAGTTAATTAAGATATTTCTTCGCTGTGCTAGCGTTATCCTATTTATTAGATGATAATAATACTCATTTGAAAAACTACAGAGAAGCATTTAATTCCAATTCTTATAGGAAAGTGCATTTATAGATATTGTGAAGAAAAGTTAGGATCTGAATGTCCAAAATTTAAATTCCAAGGTTTATGTGGTGGTTTTTGTCTCTGTTTGATTTCAAAGATGTGGCTATTGACAATGAAAACAATTTTTTTAAATTAGTCAATATAAGGAGGGCCAATCTGATATAGCAGTAATCATACAGAAGTTGAAGTCCAAAGACCTGGATTCAAATTCCATCTCTGGCTCTAATGAGCTACGTTACCATGAGAAAGTCATTTAATTTCTCCATGCTCAGTTCTCTCACTTGTAAAATGAGAGTGCTTGATAACCTATTTTCTTTTGTCCAGGTGCACTTCAAAATCTTTATATGTCCCTATAAAAAAAGTGCAGAGGGCTGTCAAGGTAACAGCAACTTCCCCCAACTCATTACCCACAATTCTCACTGCTCAGAGATAACTACATTTAACAGTTTGTATGCATCCATATATATGAGATAAAGACATATATCTTACCCCAAAAAATAAATCTACTATATCAACTATTGTGCAATGGCTTTTTATGTCTAACAATATTTCATGAACTTCATTTCAAGTGAGTTCAGGTAAATCTACTTCATCCTTTTTAAATACTATGTAACATTACATTGTGCCATGGTTTATTTAACTTTTCATCTATTTGGAAATTTAGCCTGTTTCTTTTTTTTTTTTTTTTTTTTTTTTTTTGCTGATACAAATAAGGCAGCAATGAATATTCTTGGACAAATATTTGTGTGCACTTAGGCTCATATGCCTGTTGACAATGGATATTATAGAACGCTTCTAAGACATTTATTTTTTTTCTTCTTCCCTAAACCATATTCTTTGGTCTAAAAACACGTCATAGAGAGATTTAGCAAGTGATTCTGAATGACCTCTCTCTCTCTCTTAAAGAAATTTAGATTCAAACATAATGACATTTTTCTGAAAATCTGACAGAAAGCCTTAAGAGGGGTTTTCAGAAGGTGTTATTTAATATCGTCAATAATGGGATACAGTTTAACCTGTCAAGCTGCTCAGAATTTTGAAGAAATATTTAGAATTTGATGAATGAGAATAATAACAAAGTAATGGCATGGTGGGGGAGGGGGAGAGATGTTAATTGCCTAAAGAAAACCATGCAGAGCTCAGCTGAGAAGAAAAAAATCTCCTTTATGACTGACATACTGAGCAAAGAGAATAATTCAACTTCAAAGCCAAAACAAAAAAAATTCACTACTCACTATAATTTAGGAGTAAAGATTCACAGTTTGCTACAAAAGTTAATCTTCTGATTCATGTTCAAGGCGTTGACTCAATAGAATACCATCACTTATAGTATTGCCTAAGAACTAATGAAATTTGCTACTGGAGATTTTACAACTTCCTTATTTAAGAACAAAGGTTCCTAAAAACATGAGATGTCGTTTTAGTTGTTCACGCCCCTTTCAACTCCAGTACTGCGTATTACATCAAGTCAACAAAATATGGTAACTAAATCCAGTAAAATTTATTACAAAGGAAATGTAGAATATGATGGATGGCATATTCACCTGTTTCTGAAGGTGGACTATCAAGACGAAGAAGGGAAAGTCAGGTCAGAATGACACGACCACCATCTTATTTTCTTTCAACAATGCATTTATCCAACAATGCCCATTTACTTTCACATGCTTTATTTTTACTTTGAGCACCCGTCTTCATCTCAGAATGAGACACATTTCTTAGGTGTGAGGGAAGGTTTTCAAATTAATGTTATTTATGCATCAAAATTTTATGAGAAAGGAATAAGAAAAGTGCAATGAGAAAATTACCAAACCCAAATCTTTGAATAGATACAATATATACTTTTGTTTTTTAAGGAAACTTCTTGCAAGAGGGTGAAATGATTCCAAAAACCATTCTGGTCGAGCCAATTTGTCACCCCAACTAGTGTTGTCTGTGGCTGTATCACTGAGAAAGTTCTGAATGTGTATATTCAAAGAGCCTAGGGTTGATAGTTTCACAAGAATTAGTTTTTATGGCTCTGAAATTATTTATATTAATACACTCTGAAGGAAATCCTGAGTCTACAATAAGGCCATATAACAAGTAACTGAAACTGAAGTCTTTATGATTTCATAATATTCAGTCCTTACTTTCTCAGTGTTATACTTGCAAACCAAAAGTATTCTATAGGTTCCTAACATTTTCAGAGTTTCAGAACTATTCCTGTGTGTGCAGAATTCCCAACATAGAGAAACAGATATGTTTCCTATAAATCTCACAGAAATGCTTATCTTAGGCAATAATGTTTCCTTGGAAATACGTCATTACAGGAGTCTAGATTCTATACAGTGCCCTCTTTAGAGAGAATTCTAGTCTAGATGTTTTCTTTTGTACCTGCCTGACTTCCATTCACTCATCTTTTGCATCCTCATTTTCTTTGTCGTCTTTTCCATAGTCTCTGTAGGGTGGTGTCCGTTATCTCCATAGCTCCAGGGGTGGGCATCTGATTCAAGCCTGATAGTCACAGTATCACATCCCTGGGACCATAGTGATTAGTTCACGGATGAACAAAGAAGCTCAATCCAGGCTGGGTATAGCCAATGAATTTCAGTGCCAGGACTCTATTTTGGAAGAAAAACTTTCTGTTTCCATGGGGGTTGCTTTTAATTGATGCATACCATCCCAAGCAAGACTTTTCTCATTGTGCTTTTTGTCTCCCTCTCAATTTGCTAGAAGCTTTTGGAAAACAAAATCAACCTCAAACTTGAATATTTCACTTTTTTTTTTCTTTATTTTGATCATTTCTACCCCCTGCAGGTCGCTGACTTTTTTTTTTTAATTTTACTCTGGCCAACTCTCTCTCTGTCTTATTCTTTTAGAACCACAGTATCCAGGAACCATCCAGAGAACAGAAAAAAATTTTTTTTGCTTCAGAAGGATCAGGATCGGGGCCGGCCCCATGGTGTAGCAGTTAAGCGCGAGCGCTCTGCTGCTGGCAGGCTGTGTTCGGATCCCGGGCACGCACCGAGGCACCACTTGTCAGGCCATGCTGTGGCAGCATCCCATATAAAGTGGAGGAAGATAGGCACAGATGTTAGCCCGGGGCCAGTCTTCCTCAGCAAAAAGAGGAGGATTGGCATGGATGTTAGCTCAGGGCTGATCTTCCTCGCAAAAAAAAAAAAAAAAAAGATGGATCAGGATCTAGACATCACTTGGAATTTAGTTGGAGAGTTTCTTACATGTCCTTTACAAAAACAACAAAATGAAAAATAAAACCGTTACAATCAAAAAACAGCCAACCCTGCACTTTTTTTCTTTGTTCTTGGAGGTTGGCTGGGCATCCTGCAAAACAAAGCAATTCACTGGCAATGTGAAGTTCAATGTGTCAGTTACAACTCTTTCACTTTTGTGGGGCTGAAAACTCAACTTGAACTGACTTAAGTGCAAAAAAGAGAAGCTATTAACCCCTTTTTCAGAAACGTCTAGAGTAGAGGTTGGCTTTGGGATAAACTGGATTCCAGATCCAAGTGACATTATCAGGACCCATTTTCACTATCTCTTCTGTCTTCCACTGTGTTGGCTTTATGGTCAGAATCCTCATGGTGACGCTGAAAAATCAGGGCTCCTGTACCCCTTCTAGCTAGAAGAAGAGAAAGCAAAAGCAATCCATTCATTAATTCATTTATCCCTGTTTCTCTCCACACAGTTGTCTTCCACTTACAAATATATATCTGATCGTGACATCCCTAACATGCTGTCTTCAGATCACAAGACAATATGACTTTCCAAACATCTCTCCAAGTTAACTAATTTAATCAGTATGACTAATTGCAAAAATTCTGGAGAAAGGCTCTGATAGGGGCCATCTGTGTCGACCTCTAGTCCAATCAGAGGAGCCATGAAAGCTACCTCTTCTGAGCTGTAAGGCAGAGTCTTTAAGAAAGCAGAAAGGCAAAATAGGAAATGATAGACCTCTCAACCATTACACAGTCCCCACCACAATACATGCGCACATTTCAAAGCCACTTAAGTTCTTCCTATTATGTCAACCTATTGTCCCACGTGGTATAGGAATGGAAATGAAGTTGGACAACTCTCTCCATTAAGCTAGGCAGAACTCGCACTTCCAGCCTCTCCCATGTGTTCCCAATGTGCTAACTTCCTCACAGACCACTGAAGTAGGGTCAGTAAATCTTTCTGAACACTCTGAACACAGATGAGTCCAGTAAAACCCTTGGCCAATTCCAGCTTACTTTCTAACTAGTACCAGATATACCGGATACAATGAATTTCAAATCTTGGCTCCATCAATTATTCACTATGTTGTCCTGGTGAGTCACTTAAATTCTCATTGCCACATTTTCTTTGACTGTAAAATGTAACCTCCATGATCTTTGTGGTCCCTTCTCCATAATATTCTGTGTGTCATGGTTTTCCACAGTGGCCCTGTTTGGTGGTATTCTCTTACACTTAAACCCCTATGGATGCTCCAAGTTTCTACTACCAAGTAGCACCCAAATGATGATATGTCAAAAGAGTCAAAAGAGCATCAGTGTGGAAATCTGAGTTCTCAACCCAGGCCTGACCTCACTCATTGTGTTGCCTTGAGAAGGCACTAAACTCAGCCCCCGGATTTTCACCTATAAAATGAGGGAATTGGAGTAATTGTCTCCATGTTTCCTTCCAGTTTTATTCTAATTATACCCCTTAAGTATAACAACTATTTTAAGACTGGACTTGAAGTAACTTAAATGTTATCGTCATGGAAAAATTAAGATGCCTTTGTTAAACAAAGGAAATACCAGGATACTGTCAAATATGGAGTTCTCTTTTATACTTGTGGCTAGAAAAAAAAAATTGAGAGAGCAACCTCTTAGCAAAGCTTCTGATAAAGTCTATGAGGTAATATCCTGAGAGAATATTAAGATGCCCGGGCCAACACAGCAGAAGGAAAGAGAATTCACAGAACATTTTCCCTTTAATATGTTGCTGTTCTTGCGTGAGTCTGTGTTTTTTTCCTCCTCTCTTGATTCCATTTATCGGTTAACTACTAATAGTTTCCTTGGCCTAGTAGTAAGCTCCATTTGTGATTTATAAAATGGATTCCAAAGCAATCTTTGTTTTGTTGAAGGCGGAGAAATTGGCTTGCTGTAGCTATGGCCTTTTGGGTTCTGAAGGAGACTTAACCTGAGCAGAATATTATGTCTGAGTAAGGATCCCAGGAGTCCCTGGGCTGCCACAGCCATATATCCATGGTATGCCAGGAAGTATGCTTCTGTTCAAGAATCATTTTCAAGTCACTGCCCAGGCCTCTCCTCAGAAGCAAATGCCATTCTGTCAGTATTTTCTCTCTGACCTGTGCTTGAGCACAAATACATTTGCCCACAGCATCAAATGCTCTTCTGCAGAGACTCCATCCACAAACCATTCCATCAAAGATACGAACAGAGGATGTCTAGCTTCACAGCAGAACTAATTTTGAATATGTGCCGTGTTTTGTGAACCTAATCACATCTTCCATATAAAAAGCAAGAAACCTATTAGAGAGGCAAAATTCATAGATGGGTATGAATGAGCATGATATCTGACAATCTAAAGAAATAACAGGGGTGGAAAAATCATTTGTTGAGCAATTACTACTGGTCCAGCTTTAAATGCATTGTCAAATTAAATCCAAATAAGAACCCTGCCAGCATGTGGGGGCAGGCTTTCCTTTCCATTGTACAGGGCTATAAAGCAACTTGCCCAAGGTCACTTACCTAGTAAGTACCTAAGCTGGGATCTGAACCCAGGTCTGCTTGGCTTCAAAGCCTGTACTTGTTTCTTTACCCCCAAAATGCCCGAATACCATTTGACACAATTGGGAGAGCATGTGCCTCATTTCCTAATTTAGATTTGCATTGATGTATATTATACGAAGTTTCCTATATACCTATATACCATGGCTTCTTTCTATAGCATTTTCATAATGCTCCAGAAAGTAAAATTTTTCTCCAAAAGAGACTCGGAATTTTAACATCTTGCTTACTTGAAAAGGCAAATTACACTCTGCATTCAAAACAAAATAGCTCCCCCTACAGTTTTTGCTCCATCCACATCCTCAACTTTGGCACAGAAGGCTAAGAACTACCAGGTCAGAGGCAGGAAGCTGGAGCGGTGCGTTTGCCCCTATTGGTGGGAATAATTATTAGTCCATCTGCTTAGAGAGGATCCGCGGGTACTACTCAGGACAAGGAGACGTCCCTTTAGCATTTTCCTCACTCATGTCTTCACCCCAGCAGAATAAATTGATAACTGCTAAGAGTCACGTGCTGCTTTTGACTGGAGTGAAAGTGTGCTTTCTGGAGGCCGAATTCCCTTCTGACTTCCAGTGCATAGCTGGCAAAGGCAGTCTGTCAGCCTTCCAAGTGCTGAGATTCCTCTGTGACATCACAAGTCCCAGCTCTGCCTGGCGCCCGCTGCCTCCCCGGAACTGTTGGGAACATTGCACGGCTGTGCGTCAGCGTCACCTTGAGACGCAGAACTAACGTGCTTTCCCGCAGGGCTGTGACAAGGGAACACCACTGATGATGCAAGGGCTGCTGGGAACTTCTCTTCAGTGTCATGGGTGCTCAAG